ATTTGAACTTTTTTGTTTCTAATAGTATAGCGCAAAAATAATCTTAGTTACAATGAATACCCAAAATTTCCAAAAAATTATCGATCATGTGTCAGCAGAAGTGAAAGTACCTTCTCGACCAGAGAGCCCAGAAAACTCAGAAAATTTTGTGCCGGAGATAGAGGAAGAAAATAACGGGATCTTCTACCACCAGGGGCCAAAGCTGACAGTGTGATTGAATATAGGTATAAAATTCGTGATGATGATGCATATAAAATATCTTAAATTAACAAAAAATATCAATATATTTACTTTATAAAATTATTTACAAAAATATTATCCTTTATTTTATTTTACTTAAATCATTATAAAAGTAAAATGGGACATTTATCTATTGAAAAACAAGCACGCATTTATTTACTTGTTCAAGAAGGATATTCCTCTCATTTTATCACTTCACGTGAAAATATTTCCTAGTCTACTGTTATTAGATTAAAAAAAAAGTAGAAGCTACTAGAAATGTAAAAGATTTGCTTAATTCAGGCCATCCACGAATTTTTAGTGGTCGTGATGAACGAAATATTATATGTCTTATTATAAATCGTGAATGTACTTGCAGTAGATATTAAAAAAAGTTTAAAGACCACTAACAAAATTAATGTTGGTGTAATACCATAAAGAGAGTTTTACAAAGAAATGGATTGGTTGCTAGAATTAAGTGAAAAAAACCTTATCTCAAAAAAACTCAGAAATTTAAGATTAAAATTTGCGAAAAAATATCAAAATTGGACAACAGATGGTTGGAATAAGGTTACTTGGTCAGATAAATCAAAATTTATAATTTTTGGATCAGATGGACTTCAATATTGCTGGAAATGGCCAGAAGAACCCCTGAAAGATCAATATGTAAAACCTACAGTTAAATTTGGTGGGGGTAATACTATGATATGGGGATATTTTCTTCATTTTGAGTTGGCAACATTGTACATATTTATGGTACCATGAATGAAGAATTAAATAGACAAATATTGGATGACGACCTTTTAGGAACAATCCAGTGGCATGAGTTGGATAAGAATAATATTATTTTCCAGTAGGATAATGACTCCAAACACACTGCTAATTTAACAAAGCAGTGGTTTGGGAATAGTGATATTAATATACTTGATTGGCCACCACAGTCACTAGATTTGAATCCTATTGAACATCTATAAAATGAGATTAATAAACATTTACGGCGACAATTAATATCAATTCGTACACAGGATCAACTTTGGAGTGCAATTCAAAAAATTTGGGTATAAATGGATAATGGATAAAGAATTGATTTCTACATTAATTGAAAGTATGCACGAATGTATAGATGATATAATTAAAACTAAGAGGGGATACACTAGATTGTAAACTATAACCTAGAAAATTTTTATAAATTTTAAATCATTAGTTATTCGGCAATTTCATTTTAAGTTATACGTACTATAAACGCTCAAAAGTATCGTATCGCATCGCTTAAAATTAAATAGAATTTAAATTTTTTCGAATTTCATATTATAAACTAAATAAAAAACACATCAAATACATTATTTACGGGTTAATAAATAAAATAAACTCAAATTTGTATTTTATTAATGCCTATGTTTAATGTTATCGGATTTTAAAAATTGTTGTCCGGGTGATGCAAATCTATTGGGTGCCACTGTAGATTCTTAAATTTATTAATTTGTTGCTTTTCATAGATAGGTTATATTTCCCTTCTTTTCCCTTGTAAAACATTTAATAAATAAGACGCTATAGTTATTAAGTACCAGAAATTATTTATAGTTAACATCAAGAAATTTGTTTGACAAGTGAATAACAACAACACTGTCTTCTCTTTGTTACGGTAGCAGGATAAGACTAAACATATCTTTAATTGAATTATTTAAAAATATTTTTATTGAAAGTATTTATATAATAAATTTATTCGTCTGGATGCAAAATTCTGAGCCTTCCCGGAAACTTAAATGAAGCGACGAAATAAAGACTCGATGAAAGATTTTCCCATGATGTAACGGGTGGATATCTTGTCCCATTAACCGAAAATGCGATTTTCTTATTATCCATATCTAGATGCACAATTATTTTTGCATTATCACCAAATTTTTGCGCTATTTCGACATGTTTGTTATTATGAATACCATAACCACTAGAACCCAGAGCCCATCCATATGGTTGTAGAATAGCGTGTTTGGAAACGTCGATCCCTTCATCGCAAACACCAATCCAAGAAAATTTGCCGTCTTTCTCATTCAGAACATGAAATTCATGAACACCGCTGCTCATAGGATAATTGGTTCTTATACTTACATGACTAGTAACAGTTTTGGATGCCAGAACGTTGCGTCTATCTTTACTGATTTCTAAGCCGGCACCAAAACCATTTTGATCCCAAAAGAAGCCGATTCCATAAAAAGGTGATAACGGAGTTGCCATACAAGCTAAAAACCGATAAGAATCTAGGATTTTATTAGACGGAACAATATCTAATGGTTCAATTATTTTTTTAATAATCTTCGGATTGATCCTTTTAAAGTCGATGTGTTCTACAACAGGTTTTATAATGTCAGCTATCGATTTGCTAATTTCTTTATTTATCGAACTATTACTTTTGATGGTTTGAAATACTTCTTTGACTTTCATCCACGGTGGCAATCTTTCCCCAAAAATAAAAAATACATCTTTAGATATGTTTTTTTGCTGCTGATAAAACCGCAAACCGAAAAACAGAGTATTCACTAGATGCAAATACATTTCTTTCATCTCTTTTCGATAACAAGCATTGTAGACCTTGAAGAGATAATCTATCAAATTCAATAAAATCTAAGGGAATCTTGGCAACTATATCTATTAGATAATCAATAGTTCCATTGTCCGCTTTAGGCGACATTAATTGAACTGCTTTCGATAACAACTCGGGAGCCTTATTTTCAATTCCTTCTTTCATACACATTTTTTTGTAATACTCCGAAATAAGGTTTTGAAGTTTTTCTAATTGAAAGAAATCCGCCGCATGTAAAACTTCAAAGGCATTGTCGGCTGTAATGACTTTTTCATGAACTATTCCTGTATACAGATATTCAAGAATAATCTTCATGTGTGATGCATCGATTTTTGGATAAGAGACCTGCTTTTCGGGAGTTTCTGAAGCCCGGACATAAAGAGTTCTATTAAATATCCCAGAACGAGCGGCAAGTATTGCACGGTTGCCGTAAAGGATATCACCATTCTTACATTTAATTTCTAAATCACTATATTGGGGATTATTAACTAAAAGCCCTAAGTCATTAGTTAGAGAGTTTCCACGCACCATTTTGTAGAGTGACCAATGGATTCATGCGCAATAAATATTGTATTGGGCTATCATACCATAAATGTAAATTAATGTAAATTATTAAAAATTTTGACGAAATTTAAATTAACTAATAAATTATAAAATAAAATTTTATTGATGAAAATAAATTTCAGAAATTAATTTTTTAAAAATATTTAAATACTGTATAAAAAATCAATTCAAAAAAAATTTTAATTGCAATCATGATACAAAATTTTATTTGCAGATTACTGTTTTTTTATTAAAAATTATTTATGAATATATTAAAAAATTTGAATTGAAAAATTTTTTTAAAATTTATATTTTAACTTAATTGTTATTATTTAATATAAAAATAAACAAACTAATAAATTATCAAAATATTATTATACTTCAAAAATATTTGATATATTTTAAATTCAATTTTTTTAATATTTAAATATATATTATAAAATAAATATAATAATTATTTTATATAAAATTTTTATTTTAAATATATTAAAAAATATTGTTATTACAATATACTATATAATTTATAAAAATATAAATTTCAATAAATTAAATAAATATTTATAAAATAGTAATTACATTTATAATTATTATTTTTATTTAAAAATTTTATATATATTAAAAAATATTATATATTTATACTTTAAAAAAATATAAAATTTAAGTATATTAAATAAATATTTATCAAATAATAATTTATAATTATTATAAAACTCTTTCCATTGATCCTCTAACCATATGTAAAAAAATATTTACAAGAAATTTTATACTTCTTTACTAATAAAGTCTTTGTGCTTTTATTAAAACAACTTGAAACTTGTTTTTACTTATCTCTACTACTCTCTTTTACTTATTTATAAACTCTTTTAAATAAAAACTTAAGTATTTGGTGATCTAAATAAACTCAAGTATATAATTCTTTACTAAGAACAAGAAAGTATTAGGAATTAAAAGGACTAACAAGTGAAATATCATCTTAACAAGCTGAAAGTAAAGATAAATCCCTGAAGAAAAAGGTAAGGACAAAAGTTAAATGTTATAAACTAGAAAACTTTAAAATTTTTAAATTAAAAACTATAAAAATCTATCTACAATTGTTCTTAATTATTCAAATTATTGATTTATAATATTTTCTGACTTTTGTTCCTATTAAAGTAAAGAGCTATAAATTTTATTCCTCAAAAAGGAACATAAGTGATTTGCAAAATTTTATATATTAAATACTTTAGGGACCTATCATTAGCTAGAAACAATAAAAAATAAAGGTTATATTAATAAAAAAAGACTTATTATCCACCTTCTCATATACTGTTTTATATCCTTTTAAAATATTTATTATTTTTCACAGTTTTTTCAAAAATTTTATCTATTTCAATTTGACCGTGAATTTTTAGTAACACAATATCATCTGGCATCTAATTGATTAATATGAAATATATTAGTAATAAAATATAAACAAGCTCATATTGATCATAATATATATTTAAATAATGTTATTGATAATTGAAAAGATTAATTGATATTCTAGTTCTATTTACTTCTTCAATTGAATTAATCTATAAATCAAGTTCTATGAGATCAATAATATACAAATAACAAGTTCTTAGATAGTATTTAAATTGCTATTTATTCAAGCTGAGATCTTTCTCTCCTATCCTTCATCAGACAAAATTAAAGAGCAAGGTCTTATTTTATTTTATTAAGCAATAAAACTAAATGGTCACTGGTTAATACTAAGTTTCAACTTTTTAATTACAGTTAAAAATACATTTCTAAAAATTGTTAAAGAAAATCATAATTGACCAGGATCTTTATCATTGTTTAAAACCCTTCTATCATTATTAAACAAAAAAATTGTTAAAAAATACAATCTTTTAGATAATGGAAAATATATACTAATAAAATTTCTTTAACAAATATATTATACTGGAATAACATGATTCTATTCTTACTGGATTATTAAAAACCTGAAATTTATTATAGGTTATTTCTCTACTATAAGTAAATAAAAATTAATAACTAAATAAGATTAAAATCAAGTGTGTTCTAGAAGCAAATATTTTCATTAGGAAATATAGCTAAATATATTAGTGATTATAGTGACATATGGGATACTTTTGTGGACTTAGCACTATTTGCCTATTACTCTATTCAAAATTATACTACTAAGTATTCATCATTCAAGCTACTTTATAACTATGAAGTAAGGTTACCTATTGATCCTCAGGATAATAAACAGGAATCTAATGACAAGTTGGATCAACAACTACAGTGATATATGGAATTTATTACTAGTGATCTTAGTAATCTAAGGCTTAGTGCACAACAAAATATTGAAAAAGCATAGGATAAACAAAAACAATATCATAATTAGGGAATCAAAGTTCAAAAATTCAATATAGAAGATAAAGTTTTATTATATGAATCAGCAAAAGCAAAAGAACATGGTAATAAATTTAAAGAAAAATGGATAGAATCATATTATATTCACAATATCATCCTATCAGGAGCATACAAATTAAGAAACATAAAAAATAAAGTATTCAAAAGGGCAGCGAATATCAATCAATTAAAAAGATGTTATGAATGACCAATTTGAGAGCCAAGCATAATTATATAGTTATAAGATATTATATATTATAGAAAAAATAAAAATATTCTTAGTATTAATTATTATATATTCATATTTGTACTAAATAACATATTGAATCCATATACATAGTTGTAGATGACCTTGGTTTTCTAAAAATATGGGAAACTTATAACATATACCTTCAAGCTAATCAGCTATATAGCACCAAGTGCAGGGTAGTGTTTGAGGCTATAGTATGAAAAAAAGTCACTTATTTTGGTTATTTTCTTCTTTATTATATTATATTTTATTAAAAAAAACTCTTTCCTGAAAAATTCTAAAATGCAAAAAATTTTCTTATTAAGCAATTATACAAAAACCAACTCATTCCTTGCTACTAAGTAGCCACAATAAGAAAAATATAGCCATCTCATGAGAAATCAGAAGTGCCACCAAACAAACAATACTAGACTATAATGAAACGACTATCAAGGAACAATGGAAGAATTATTAAACCTAAGGCAACAACTCCAATAGCACAGCTCAGAATACTTCACTTGGCACAAGATCCTTAACCCAGAAGAAGACACCAGGAAAAGTGGCAGAGAAAGAAAAGAAGAAGGTAATAACAACTGAACTAGACTATGAGATGAAAACTGATACTCCAACCTAAACAATAGAACTAGCAAAAGGAATGGAGCAAACAAGACCATCGACTCCTATTACCATCACTACTATCAGCAATCCAAACTCTTCTATGCAACAAGTCCCAAACTTTTCTCTAAACATCACCAAACAAACAGCCTTCAGTTATGAAAAAGAAAGCCAAGAAAACAAGCAAGGACCAACTAGAGACATGATATACTCACAGAATAAGAGACCCAAAAAAGCCCTTATTGATCCAGACCTAGTTCCAGGGCAGTCACATGAAAAAAAAATCAATTTTATCAAACAAAAAATGGTGGGGCTATACTCCCTGAAACATGTGCGCCCTAAATTCTCAACCAGTTACTCCAAGATTGCAGCCATTTTTGATAATCAGGAAGATCTTCACAAGACATGTGAGATTAACATCACTGACAATGAAATAACTAAATTCAGAAGAATTGCACATCCAGGATTATACGAGAGCAAGTCCCGAACTATTAGGATATGGGATATTCCACAGTACTTTATCAAAATAGATCTAACAGAATTCTTTGAAAGTCAAATTAGCATCAATTACATCTCTATATAAAGAGCAGGCCTATTCCAATCAGCTAACATCACCTTTACAAATGCATCAGACTACATTAAAATTAGCTAAGAATGGTCAATCAGATGCAGTTACCACTTATGCAGAATATTTCCCTTCTATAGAATACATGAAACCAAACAGGAAAAAGAGTGCTTCAGTGCAGCACTCATACAACTACTCTCAATACTACAGCATTTGACCTGGTTGTAATCATCACCAGTACAAAAGCAAAATCATGTTATATCTTTCATAGTAACAACAATCAGACCAAAAGACTTGCCATTTTCACATACAAGATACAGAAAGATATTCTCAGAGCAAAGACAACAGCACCTATAATTAGAGAGGTACAAACACAATAAATCAACTGTGAAACCAGACTGTGTCCCATATGTAGCTCTGCAGAATATAATCTTCTACTGTGCCCAGAAATATTAGAAGCCTCATTATCAAGACAACACACTAACTACTTCAATAACTCAAGGATTCCAGCAGAAAACAGGCCTAATATCCCATCAAACCACAGATACAAGGAACTTAATTACACCAATAATCCCAGAAGTTATGCAAACATCATCAGATATGGAAGCAATACAAGAAACCACCTAGCAGGAGAAGACCTATACAACTACTTCTCTCTCAGTAAAGAAAAAACTAAGAGATTAAAGTCTTCCTCAAAGACTTAGATAAAAGAGTAGATGTCTTAGAACAGAAATGTGCTAAAAAATATCCAGAAAATATTAACAAACTCATAGAAGAATTAGAAGAGACATCAGCAACAGACGAGATCACATCAAAAACAACCTCAAATATTAATATCCAATATATCAGGGCATCAAAAGAAGTATACCAAAATCAACTTAACTAAATGAGTTCCATGATAGATAAAGCAATTAACTTGTTCAAACTTTTACAACTGATAAGTTCACTAGGTCCCCACTTATTGCAATAAAATTATAGAACAAACAAATAAAACAATCCCGATAAGACAGATAGAACAAGCGATAACATACTCAAACTAATACCAAAACATCAAATGGAACAAACTAACCTAATAAACACTTCACAAATAGCTAGCAATATAGTTAACAATTGAAAGATCAGTATGATAAATGTTAGAGGAATAAACGAAGAGAATAAACAAATTTCACTTACAATATACGTGAAAGAGAAAAAATATAA